TTTAACCTTGTGCTAGCATTGTTAAACTACATTCTATTCCAGCCAAAATAAGCCCACTCATCTTTCAGCTTATCACCTGCGCATTCTTTAATGTAATTTCACAAATTGATGGAGTGATGCACTGGTACTTGGAATAGTAACTCCAGCAATAAATTTGTAACTAACTGGATCAGAACAAGCCACACTTAAAAAAGACAGGATCAGGTTCGATAAAAGAATATACTTTTATAAATATATATCTCCCACATTTTATCTGGCTTTTGAAGTTAACCAGGATTCAAGTTAACAATCATATCTACAGTTAACTATAACCATTGCTCTAAGGGCTTCTCTGTTTGACAGCAATAGCTATCTTAACCTTAGTTTTTTAATTGTAAAGGTTCACATATTTGACGCCTTTACTTGTGGGGTTAACATAGTTGTAGCTACGACTTTAGTAAATACAGTAGATATATAAAAAAAAAAAGATCACTGACTGTGGCCAAAGGAAAGGGGGAGGGGCCGGGAATCCACCACACACATTCTACAAGGGGCTGTGGGCTTATCAGATCTCAAAATAAGCAGGACCGGACATAGTCTGTTCCTAGGTGACGGTGCAAGAAAAAAATATATATATTTATATTTTTTTACAAGAGTGCCTTTTATATCAAACTACAGCCTCTTGACTCTTTGAAAGCCTTCCCAGCCTTTCTGGCTAAAGTTATTGCCTTCTCTTTTCAGTTTGATAAGATTTGGTTCTCAAAAAAATAAAATTAAAGAAAACCAAACTTATTCAGCATCAGACATATCTGTCAAAAATTAACATTTTTATAAAAAGAATTGTCTGAAAAATTTAAATCCACTTCTGAGAACATTTTTACCAAATAAAAAAAAAGGCAACCAAGAAGTTTTGTTCTTATGTTTAGCACTAAACAAAAAACAAAAAAACCCACACTAACTAGAAAATAGCACATTGTTGAAGCTTCACCACACAGAATTAGAAACGCACCTCAGTCCTAACCCACAAACACCCTCCTATTCTAGTCCTCTTTCTTGAGTGCACACCATTATTATATCCAATTGTGCAAAGAGGGAATAGTCTGGTAGGGAACGCAATTAGGTCAAACTCATTTCCACTGGTGATTAGAACCAGGTGATGGATCTACATTTGGTCTCCAGAACTGAAAGGGTTAATGCTTCAATCCCCCCCCACACACACACACACACACACACACACACACATCCATCCCTCAAAATTGGCTCTAGTCAAGCTAAAATTTTACTTTCCAATAAGATAATACAGTGGTAGCTTTAGGAAAGAAGCCTGAAGAGGCACTGGCTGAGTTGAACACAAAGAAGCAGCTTTTCTATAATTCTTTAGGCACTCAACTGTAGGGATGCTTCACCATGGAAGCACACTTCTCCAGAGAAACAATAATGTACCTATTTTCACCAACTAAAACTGCATATCTGGCAACGGATGTGTTTACTTTTGTACTATAGAAGCTAAACAAAACATATTGGAAAAAGCTTCAACTGTGTATTAAACCCAAAAATGCAGTGAAGCCCCTTCAGTTCATTACAATGACTTAAATCAGACTTTTTAATTGGAGCTATGTTATGTGGAAGCTTGGCAAGCAAAGTTAGAGGTAGAAGGCTGCTATATTATCGTCATCAACATTATTCACTCTCCTTCCTTTACCTTACTCTGGCAGAAGTCAGGTCAGTTAACTGGCTAGGTTAATGAGGAGACACAAACAGTTAACACTAACTAAAAAAAAAAAAATGCAAGTGTATATATTCATCAGGTTGCCAGTCTGTCCCAACTTCAGTCCAGGAGTGGGTTAGAGCCAGGTGGGAGATGATCTAATTTACAATCAGCTGAGGATGCCAGAAAGCACCATACTTTAGAAATGAACATTCCCTTACCCACGCACCCACAAAAAGGCTGACGAGTGGGAGGACCACGGACATAGGAATCAGCTCAACCAGCTGGATAACTACACTGACACTTCAGGAATCCTTAGTTGAGGAAATGTAGGAGCTTTCCACTGAGTCACACCAGTGGCATCTGTGTGCTATTTTTGTCACAGCACCAATCTTTCTTTAGACAACATAATATACATGAGCAAAGGGACTCCAGAAGCATGAATTATTGGTCCCAAGGAGCAATATGAAAACACCTTAACTTTCCCCTGAGTGGGAAAAGTAACTCAACTGTTCAAATCTTTGGCCCTTCAAGTAGTTCTCAAAGAATCTAGAATCCACATGAAAATAACTGCCTCCGTTTATAATATTTTACAAAGATACTTACTGCTGGTAGTAGAGATTGCATGTTTTGATTGGAGTCTGCTATAGTGGCCAGGTAGACCAAGTTAGTATGCAACATCTGCTGATACCTATCAAAATGAACAGAGCAAAACAGGTCCTAAAAAGCTAACATCACCACAATATTAAAATTCACCAGCTTTTAATTTACATATGCATGCACAGTGAACTCTGGGTCTGGGGTATCTGAAGAACTGTCTTCTCCCATATGAACCTGCCTGGGGATTGAGGTCAGCTGGGGAGGCTTTGCTTCGTGTTCCTCCACTTGTGGAGATAAGATTAACATCTACACGGAACAGGGCAGTCTCAGCTTTTGCTCCCAGACTGTGGAATTCTCTTCCTCGGGATATTTGCATGGCGCCAAAGCTAGCATTGTTTCGGCCTAAAGCCACCCTCTTTACTCGTGCTTTTATTAATGTTTGAGTCTGTATGTGTGTGTTCCTCTTCTCTATATGTTTTTAGCTGGTTATGTCCCTCTGAGGTATCATATTTTAAATTCTCACATTTTAAATTTGTATATATATTTGGTTTTTTTGTTTGTTTGTTCTTGTAAGCCTCCTTGAATATTTTAAATAGAAAGGCGGGGTAAAAATATTTAAATAAATAAATAAAATAAATAAACTCTGATTTCAGTACATTAAGGAATTATGGTAATAGATGTGGAAAGTTTGGGATTCCTGTATTTCCGTGCCCCATTTTGACAATTCCCTTGCAAAAGCACTGGAACCTCTCAAGCATATTCTCCTAGTAAGGATGACAGAAGCAGCAGAGAAGCTACACTGTTTTTGTTTGTTTCATGCCCTGCTCAAGCTAAGCAACCCAAAATGTCTTGTGTATCAGTCTGGACATGATCATTTGATACTGCTTGAGACACAGGTATAAGCAAAAGACAGCTCATTTCTCTCCTTGTCATGCACCCAGGAGCAAAAGATCATTCCTGTATAATCCATCATATAATCAGAATAAGCAGCATATAATCAGGGCCCCATGTATTCCACAATTGCAGAATTTACCACAGAATTCAATCCTTGCTGCAGAATAGTCCTCTAATATCTTAGTCTCCTTTTCTTAAAGGGAAATTAAATCTATCATTTTAGTTGCAAATTTACTATGGATCATGCTTCCAAGGTTATAAGCCAATATCTACTGGAGTCTGCAAAAAGCCTGAAAAACAGGACTCAGAGGTATAGACCACCTCAGCTCTCTCATTTAGGACTCCAGGGCTGAAGGACACTGGAATTTGGCATTTTTCCAAGATACCACAGAATTCAACAGTTTGCTGCAGAATTCATTGTTCAAGAAGGTGATACATTATCATTGAGGCAGAATGTGGTCCCATTGTGATACAGAACACAGAAGACGTAATATAGAGTGTTTCCATATCACAGTTATAGTTCGCATGTACAGGTACAGGCATAATCCTTCCTTAGGGACTATCACTAATAATACGGAGCAACCCAGACAGGAAAGGGAGCTGGTCTACTGGAAGGAAGCAGCTCATGACCTCACCATAAACTCCATTCTCAAACTAGCTCTGCTTGCAAGTACTATTAAATTAATTTATTCAGACTCGAGGCAGGTATGATGCACTTTGTGTTGGAACACTTCTAACTGAAAGATCAGCACTGGCTCACTCCAGAGGACGATGGATCCAGTTCTTTGCCAAAAGTCAGGCTTTGTTATGATACACAGCCTTTCTGGAAGAGTACAAAGTTCTTGGATATAATCCCAAAACACAGCCTTAAAAATAGTATCTGCTCCTCCCCCTACTACTTTGAATGAAATAGGGAATGTTCAAAGCAAACAGTCTAACGCTGTCTAGCTCTGACTCAAACAGAAAAGTCTATGCATTTTCATTATGAAATCCCTTAATTTTTACCCTATCTTACTGTCAGTGTATAAGACGTTAAACCCAGCACTTCTGTATTTCTAGAGAACATTTTAATGATAATCATATACCAATTTAAAGTCAAAGGTACACTATCATTAGCAATGTTTCTCTATGCTCGCTAGTACAGTTTTCCAGTGAGGTGATCTAAACAAACTGGGTTTCCCATTATTAAATCACTGGTATCACCAGGCACAAAATACATTTAATTTAAAATCTTACTGAGAGCATTCTGAGGTCTTCCCTTTGTTCTGGTAGTCCATTATACACTGAATAAGATGGTTATTTTCATCCAACATCTGAAATAATAAACACAAGTTTGGAATAAGTTTCACACCCTTTTGATGTAAGTGAACTAAAAGACCGTAAAAGACTGTAAAAGACCGACCAATCTCTTCATAATCATTATGAAAAAGTGTTTTTAAAATATTGTTTCTTATTTTGTTTTGAACAGATATCACTTGTAGATCTTTTCTCTTCTCCTGCCTTTAACTTTCCATTTGTTTTACAGCTTTTAATTTAAGGTTTTGGATTTAAGTCACTGCTATAGTTAAGGCTGAAAGGCTTTCTAGCTCCTAGACTTCCTCTACCACAGTTTCCTATGAATTTCCAGAAGTTTAATTTTCCAAATTTGGTCTCTGCATAGAAATTTGTTTACATAGTATAAACAAACAAAAAAAAGTTTCCCTCTCTCATATGAAATGCTATTTAAAAAAAAGTCACAATAGCTTGTGGCAGAAAAATCAAAGGATACTGTACTTTGAAACAGACCTCATAACCTTTTAAAATTAGATTTGATTGAAGTATGAGCTTAGCACAACCACACTCCATGAACATAGAAAAAATTGTATTAACTATTCTCCATTATATTTTAGAAGTATTTAGGATTGTGAATCTGTGTAACTTACTTTGTAAAAAAAGGTTACAGTCATACGAAAGTTGTACACTTCCTAATTTTCCACAAAATGGATTTCTTATGAATATCTTACACTGTCTGAGACATCATTTTGAAGGTATCCATAGGCAAGTAGTTCTACATGATGGGACTTCCTTTTTCAATCTTGCTCCTTCCAATTATCATACAGTAACTCCAAAAAGGGAAGAGTCAGAGATTTCACTGAGACCATTAAGGACTTAGTGATTATCAGCATTAGAAGTCTAAATATTAAGATGGGTGAACTAGGGTGCCTCGTATTAAAGGAGGATATTGATATAATAGGCATCACAAACTTGGTGGAATGAAAGTAATCAATGGGGGACAGTCATATCAGGGTACAAAATACATCAGAAGGACAGAACAGGTCATGCTCATGGCGGAGTGGCACTATACGTGAAAGAAAATGTAGAATCAAGTGAAGTAAAAATCTGAAATGAGCCAAAATATTCCATAGAATTTTTATGGGTAGTAATTCCATGCTCCAATAATAAGAATATAGCAGTAATGATATATTATTGACCACCTGATCAGGACAGTGATAGTGACTATGATATGCTAAGGGAGATTAGAGAGGCTATCAAAATAAAAAACTCAGTATAGTAGGGGATTTCACCTATCCCCATATTGACTGATTACACGGCACCTCAGGATGGGATGCAGAGATAAAATTTCTTGATCCCTTAAATGACTGCTTCTTGGAGCAGCTGGTTCTGGAATACACAAGGGGAAGAGACAAATCTTGATTTAGTCAAAAGTGGAGCACAGCATATGGTCCAAGAGGTATATATAACTGGACCACTTGGAAATAGTGACCATAATGTAATAAAATTTAACATCCCTGTGGTGGGCAAAATGCCTCAGCAGTCCAACACTGTGGCATTTAATTTCATAAATGGGAACAAAAATGAGGAGGTTAGTTAAACAGAAATTGAACGGTACAGTGACAAAAGTAAAATCCCTGCAAGCTGAATGGAAACTTTTCAAAGACACCATAATAGAGTCCCAACTTAAATGTATACCCAAAATTTAAAACAGTAAAAGAAACAAAAAAAGTGCCACCATGACTTGACATAACCAAGAAGCAGTAAGAGATAAAAAGGCAATGTTTTAAAAAGTGGAAGTTAAATCCTAGTGAGGAAAATAGAAAGGAGCATAAACTCTGTCAAATTAAGTGTAAAAAATATAAGTAGTCAAAAAGGAGTTTGAAGAACAGCTAGTCAAAAAAAATCAAACAGTAATAGCAAAATGTTTAAGTACATCAGAAGCAAGAAGCTTGCTAAACAACCAGTGGGGCCTCTGGACAATGGAGATGCCAAAGAAGCACTCAAAGATAAGGTAATTGTGGAAAAACTAAATGAATTCTTTGCTTCGGTCTTAGATTCCCAAAACTTGAGTCATTCTTTTTAAGTGACAAATCTGAGTAATTGTCCCAGAGGAGGTTTTGGAACAAATCGATAAACTTAACAGTAACAAGTCACTGGGACCAGATGGCATTCACCCAAGAGTTCTTTCAGAACTCAAATGTGAAAGTACGTAACTATTAACTGTGGTTTGTAATTTATCTTTTAAATCGGCTTCTGTACCTAGTGACTGGAAGATAGCTAACGTGACACCAATATTTTAAAAGGGCTCTAGAAATGATCCTGGAAATTACAGACTGGTAAGTCTAATGTCAGTACCGGGCAAATTAGTTGAAACTAAAATTGTCAGACACATAAATGAACATAATTTGTTGAAGGAAAGACAACATGGTTTCTGTAAAGGGAAATCATGCCTTAACTAATCTACTAGAGTTCTCTGAGTGGTGTCAACAAGCATGTGGACAAGAGGGATGCAGTGGATATAGTATTCTTAGAGGGAAAGTACTTTCATGGACTGATAACTGGTTAAAAGGAAACTAAAGGTAGCAATAAATGGTAAATGTTGAGTGGAGAGAGGCAACTAGTGGGGTCCCCCAAGGGTCTGTCCAGGGACTAATTCTATCCAACTTATTTATAAATGCTCTAGAGAAAGGGGTAAACAGTGAGGGGATTTTCTTTAATCACAGAAGCACATACCAAGATATCAGCAGTGCCTATAATAGCACCTAGAGCAGGGGTGAGCAATAAAACAGTGTGGGTTATACCCTGACAGGCTTCCTCCGCTATATTTACCTGTGTCTCCAGAGGCACTGGCAATCACAGCTCCTGCTGGCTGAAGATCGCTGTTCCGGCCAATGGGAGATGTGGGAAGCAGTGTCCAGGCCACACCTTTACCCACCCTTCCCAGTGGCCAGGAAGAAGTGATTCACAGCCGATGTGAAAAGCGATCATCGGAGGCTAACTATGGCAGATCAAGTCTAGCCTGTGGGCCAGTATTTGCCCATCACGATCTTAAGGGGCACCCTAAGTCTCAAGGCTCTGCTCAAACCACCTCTCCTCCTTACTAGGCAAGATTTTTTTTTTAAAGGGATCAATAAAACTAAATTGAGACGCTGTAGTTTTGTCTAACCTCACCAATAAGCACTGGACAAAGACCGAAGTGATAAAAGCCTGCTCATCCCAAAAGGTGAGATATGACAGTTAACCAATACACACCTCTGGGGTAGTTATTGGCCTGACCCGTTACCCCAATTAAGAGACACGGTGTGGAGCGGGCAGTGTGTGTGTGTTTAAAATTTTCTATTGAACCAACTTGGGTGGGTGAAAGAGAGACGCTTTGGAGGCGCCCAGGGCTCTTCTGCACCCCTG